CTCCTGTTCCAAACCCCTAAACCCCTCACCGCTACGCACGCGACCCGGCGACCATGGGTAAGAGCGGGAAGAAGACGAAGGAGTCGCACCGGCAAGGCCGCGGCCGCCGTGGCTCACAGGTCGGCGACGACGACTTGCCATCATCTGCCTACGACGCGCCGCTGCGCCGCCAGGAGGACTCGGACGGTGACGATTCTGACGAAGCAGCAGCGGAAGACGAACACGACGGAGGCGCGGAAGCAAGTGACCGCCAGGGCCAGTGGCAAGTCGGCTCGATGCCTTCCAAGTTCCACCTGTACCAGCTCTCTGTGCAGGTAACCTTGCTAGCTTCCACAGTAGCTTGGACATGTGAAAGCCTCCGTGCCCACAACCTGTTCGACGATTTGACATTGGTGTTGTGCTTCTGTGCTCAGTCGCCAAAAGGGGACATCAGCTACCTGCAGAAGTTCTTTTTGATGTACGTTGGCGGGCGCGTCCCTCTCCACCTGCAGGAGGATTTCTGTGGCACCGCCCTCCTCAGGTCAGAGCAGTGCTAAGCATTAAGCATAGCCTTTGCACAATCTACCCTGCTGTCAATTTCTCAAACACCTTGGGCGCACTGTGTATCTATTGCTGAGGATCTCAGGAGTCCCATTAGTAAGAAATAATGGCTCTAACATTACACTTAACACACATATAATTAGGAGCTGTCATATTAAAATGGTTACTCTTTGGAGTACTTTGGTCAGTATTCACTATTCAGAGGTGTTCAACATCAGAGATATTATTATTTAGCTTCAGTGTATAAGTGCATGTGTTGCCCATAATCTCTTTTCTTTCTGTTGGCAGTACTGAGTGGCTTCGCACTGATACAAGACGAACAGCAGTGGGCTTAGACTTTGACCGTGAGTCACTTGAGTGGTGTCTTGAGAACAACCTGAGCAAGATTGGAGCTGATGGGTATTCGAGATTGTTGCTTTTTGATGGAAATGTTCTGCAGCCAAATGAATCTCGCCTTGTCAAGCAAAAGATCAGTGATCTCATGCAAGGTCTAAATGTTACCAGTGATGATGGCTCTACTGAAACGAACAGCTTTGAGCAGTCAGATTCTTCATTTACAAAATGTGAAGCCAATTCGACCATGTCAGATGCAGTTTTGCCTGGAAGAGACATAATTTGTGCATTCAACTACAGTTGTTGTTGCCTTCACAAAAGAAAGGACTTGGTTTTGTATTTCAGGCATGCTTTCAATGCACTTTCTAAAAGAGGCGGTATATTTGTAATGGATGTATATGGTGGCACATCATCTGAATGCAAGCTTCGTCTCCAGAGGAGATTCCCCAGCTTCACTGTGAGTAGAGTTATGCATTGCTTAATCATTGCAGCACATCGAGGCCTCTCTTCTAAAGTACCAGTTAGAAACATACTAGGCATAGTGTCATAAGATTAGTATATTTAGGGTGAGGTTGCATTTTTTATTGGTAAATGATGCGGTATTTGTAAGAAGAATTTACAGCATGCTAACAAATCTAATAGTATTATATATAAAGTTAGAAATATTTGGCAGTTGTTGTATGCGACATAGATGTTGAATTTTAGTATCATACCTGAGCAATTTAGCTACTCCCTCCGATCCACATATTAATTGTTGCTGTTTTAGTACAACTTTAATACAAAGTCGTACTAAAGCAGCGACAATTGATATGTATCAGAGGGAGTACATATTTTATTTGACTTACTGGTGCATCATCATGTAGTTAGCTAAACTTAATACAGCTTAAACTTAGCAATTCAGTTAGTTATATTTGATATGGGTTGCATGGCAAATATATGTTTTACACTAAGTTTATTTCATAAACAACACGCTTGATCTGTTTGATGAAATTAGCTTGGATATGATGATTCAGTACACAAAGATTGTCATATCTCCCATGTATTTGTTGACAGAGCCTTTTTTACACTTATCAATCATATAATTTCCACCCTTGTATAGTCGCCAAGTTGATATGAACTGCAATCTGCAGTAGCTTTATTAGCCTGATCTCATAATCTTCTGGCGTCGTATTAAATTTGAAGTTCTTCTTATATACAACTATGCATACAGTATTTCTGGGAGCAAGAAGAGTTTGATATCCTAACTCGTGAAACAAGGATCAGCCTTCACTTTCAAGTTGGAAAGAAGCAAATGATACGGCATGCTTTCACGTACCATTGGCGCCTGTAAGTTGCATATACATTACTTGTTCAAGGCATTAAGTTCAGACTTGTTTATTTTCCCATTCACTGATCGAACAGTTATGGAAAACCTGCAAGGTTAGGACTTTTCCAATCAGAATAATTTGTATAGACATTTAGGTAAATATCATGGTCTGTTGGGCTTTCTCGGGGAGGATTGGATCTACGGCAGTAGGGATGGTTGAAGGGAGGGCGACCAATGTCGCTGAGGGAAAAGGGGCTTACGTGCGTTATAGATAGGGGGTATTGGGGTAGAGAGAAATGTTTCTGTTGAATCAAACCCATATGCCTGGCGTCATTATATAGGCGAGGCTCTAACCATTGCAACATAAACTGCAAGGGAACAAGTCTTATCTGATGGGAAGTAAACTGAATCTAAAGGAACCAAACCAGATCCTGTAACCCAAGATAGATGGATGCTTATCTTTAAACTGTTCTGCTGCCGTGCCTCCTGATCCTTCCATGGTGTCAACAGACTTTGGCCTCTTGCCATAGGCTGGTAGGTTCCAACAATTAGCTGTCATACTTTGATGATAATGCATCTGCGGTTGTTATCATGCTTCAAGGCGGAATAAGGTTGGGTTTTATAGTCCAGGGAAACCAAAGGCAATGTCATTACATTAGCTCGCGGTGTCTCTGATACGATTGGTGCCAGAGAGTTGCTGTGATTGTCTATGTGTCAGCAATACGCATTTTCCTATATGCCGTATCCTTGTACTATTCATAGATATATGAACCTTGGGGCATTTTTCAGTTATATGCAGTGGCGCATTTGCGCAGCGCTGGCAACCCGGCAATACTATATTGGTTTCTGGAAATTAATGCATGTAAATGGCAATGGATCATTGTTCTTACAGATGGACGGAGAGTTTCTTCAGAATTGCAATTCATATCGTTCTTTTGCAGGTGGTCGATACCAGAAATCAAGGACTGCTTGGAGGAAGCTGGATTCAAGTCCATCCACGTCTGGGTCAGGGAGATGCCGGACACCAAATCAAGCGGAAACGCCAAGGAATACACTGCCGACCGCGACGTGAAGTACGAAGAGCTCCAGCATTTCAACCAGGCAGATGCTTGGAACGCGTACGTAGTCGGGGTAGCAAACATCTAAGATGAAATGATCCTTGCTGCCCCCTGCTAGGAAGATGTGGTGGAAAGTTGGGAGCCTGACAATTTCCCCTTCCAACGCTGGAGGAGACACGTTCTGCCTAATGTGCGGATGCTCGCCCATGCCTTATTTACACGACGCTGCATCGCATTGCAACCTGAAGTATCCGGAGGGTGTTTCCGATGACAGTTCTAAACTACTTTCTGTAATAAAACCATCCCTTTTAATCTCTCATGGCTGTGTAGGCTAGTCCATTTGCTTTTCTGCTTTTGTAATAATGTGTGTGCATGGATGATGTGACCTGCACATGCACGTAGATGGTGGAGTGCGTCGTGTGCGCCCACTCCCCTCTCCTTTCCTACTCTCCTGGTGGACATGTGCGCTGTGGCTCGCGGTCGTGGATGGCGCGGCCATCACGGATCATAGCGAG